TTAATATAATCTGCCTTAAGCTTTTATTTAGAGAATTTTTCTGGATGTTGTGTTGAGAATGGGGACAAGGGGGAAAGGTTAGAATCAGGGAGACTAAACCATTTGTGTAACAGGCCAGGCAAGAGATGATGATGGCCTTAACCAGGATGCTATCATTAGAAGTGGCAAATAAAATTACTTGCAAATGAGAAGGCTCAGGAAAATGAGGATGTAATGAATTACCACTAGACCTAACATTGCCTGGTTCAAATCTTTCTTCTTACTTTAAAAGCCCAACCTCACTATCCTTTGACCTAATTTGACTGAAAACAGATAAATGGGTCAGTTTATTTGTTCACTGAAAAGGTCAAGGCCATTCAACTGTGAAAGCTTTTTCTGCCTGTGTCAGCCCACCTCTGCTACTTCTGCATTGCCTCTGTGTTCTAGAATGATTAAGACTTAACTGAAGTAGGAAGAGGAATGGAGTCCTATTAGATAGGAGGCATTAGTTAGATAAGAGATACTGAAAGCATTAGAAATAGAGACAAGACAGCCACACATTGAACCTGAAAATTAGCTTGCACCAAATATTAGAAGTAATAAGAGAAGAGCTCAGGATGGCACTGTAAGTAAAATAACTGGATTGATATGAGAAGACCCACATTGGAGGATTGAGGATAGAGTTCTGGACTAGAAATGCTGCATCTGGGCTCTTTGCCATATCTACCACAAGAATGAAGACCATTCTCAGCAATCAGCCTGCAGACATCACTCAGAAGAGATGCACATTAACTGTGATGAATCCTAGAAGAACAGTCCAGAGGGACATCAATACAGAACTCAATCTTCTTGGAAAAAAAAGAAGCTCCTTGATGACAAATGATGGAGAAACAGAAAAGAACTGACTACTGTTCACACTGTCTGTAGCCACATACTGAACATGATCCAGGGGGCAACTGAGCTTCCATGACAAGATGAGGCCTGTGTATGCTCAGTTCTCCATCATTCAGGAGAATGGGTCTCTTGTTGGAATCCGAAAAACATTGGGTAAAAATATATACATAGGATTTAGATAAGGACAAGCCCAGAATGAAGAGTGATTCCTTGAAGGAAATGATACTGAACTTGTTTCAAATTCAGCTGCTTTGATTCAGCAAACCCCAACAGTTAAAAACAAGGATATCAGGAAATTTTCATCAATATGTACGTTCCTGAACAGTTCAGCAGAATGACAAATAAGATCTAACAGTCACCCTGTTTCTGTATAAGGTCCTGGGTTATGAAACCAACTTGTGATATTTTAATGACTCAGTAAAAGACCACTACCGTAAGGAAAGAAAGAAGGCAGGCAGGCAGGCAGGCACTAAGCCAGTTTTGTAACACAGAAAAAATCAGGGTTTTCCTCATTCCAGCACTTGTGAAACTCAGTTCTGTCACTGCTTTTAGGACACAGCATCTTTCCTCTCTATCCACTGCCTGATTTCAAAGCCTATATCTCACACCATTCATAAATAGCAAGGGCCTATTCAGTGTCTTCTTTTAACTAGCCTCCTGCCTGTGGTCTCTGCTTACCCCAGCCCACCCACAATGCTGATCTCCAGGGAACTCAAAATGTAACCATGTTACTTTTCTCCTTAGTATTCTCCCATGGCTCCCAGAGCTGTATAAAGTGCAGATTCCTCAGCTTCACAAGTATTCCAAGTGGTCAGGACCTGGCTCTTGCCCTTCTCTCCTGCCTCATCCTATTTGAAATTTATTCTCAGGGCAAAAAGTGCTCAGGGTTCCACCAGTTTCCTACCTCCCTATCTTTCATGAATCACTCCCCACCATCACTACCACGTTCATCATTCAAACCCAGCTCAGAGTTCTGTCACCCTCTGACACTCCCAGACATAATGTATAGGATGGTTTAGGCATCCCAGCATCTGCTAACATTTTGAGACTGACATCACTTACTCTCTCCTCCACCCAACTCCCCCTTGAATGCCCTCTTGGATCGTGGCACAGTCGGTCCTTAGCTCAAGGGTCAACGACAGAAATCTGGGCTTTACCACATACCACACATTCAAACCATCATTCCAGATCATTTTAGTCCTTAGTAGCTTTAACACTGCCCTTGGTTCAGGTCCTCATCACTTTTGTTTGACTTCTGGTCTCCCTAATGAAATCACCTTCCTGCTTACAACTGTGATGGGATCATACCACTTCCTCAGCCCCACCTTTATTCCCAGCTCCTGCTTTCAATGAAGTTCTCTCAACATACCTTCTAAACATCCTTCTACATCAAGTCTACCCACAGCGATTATCATTCCTCAGTTGATGCATGGACAATCACCCAGGTTTGACTATCTAACTCCACTCTAATTCTCAATTCCATAGCTTCGGAACAAAACTCTGACACATCCATGTGGCCAGCAGGCTGCTCACTAACATGTCTCTAACCCCTCCCTCCTTACTCTACTGATAACCTCTATTTGGGGCCTTCACACAGGCTACTCACTGACCTAGAACTTTCTCACACCTCTCTCACTGGCTAACTCCTCCTCTTTCTTCATGAGTCAGATTAAAAATACACCCAAAACAATGCTCCCATGAAACTAGATACTCTCCAATGTGGGGTGAGGGAAGGATAGGAAATGCTTCTTCCAAGATCAGATGTTTCCCTTTCTCTTCTCCTTTTTTTTTTTTTTTTTTTTTTTGTTGTTGTTGTTGATGTGTTTTGTTTTGTTGTAGCACTGGGGACTGAACCAAGGGCCTTGCAAATGCTAAACAAGTGCTCTACCACTGAGCTATACCCCTAGCCCTTTGAGACTGGGTCTCACTAAATTGTTGAACCTGGAACTAGTGATACTCCTGACAGCCTCCCAAGTCACTGGGATTACAGATGTGTGTCACCATATCTGTTTTTCATGTTTTAAATACGTGTCTATCTTCTTCAGGGCAACCAAAAGAAATTGAGAACAGGGTTCATATTTTTTTAATTACTTCATCCCCAAGACATAGCTCAAGGTCAGCAACAGAGCCTGTTCTCAATAAATGTTTTTTAATTTCGGCCTACTAGCTAAAGGCACAATCTAAGATAGCATTTCACAAATAGGTTTTATGACACATGAAACATTTCTGTTGGTTATGGTAACAAAAGTATTCAAATAGGGGTTTTAATTCTAACAACTTGTATTTGCCCTCAAAAACATGATGTTCCCTGGAACAAACTCCCACTTCACAGATGTTAAGACTTTTCTTCTACTTGAAATTCAAACTACAACTTCCATGTGCCAAAAAGGGGAAAACCATATTAACAGGGGGCTCTCTGGCCTCAAACCCCAAACCTCAAAACTTCCACTTCTCTTAAGCAAAGGAATTTAGTAAATAGTCAGGTTATAATTAATTTTTAAATGAGTCCATTTTCTTCTTCTCAAACTGTGCTACTTGTTTCAGAGGAACTGGGGTATGGCCTAACTGACCTTATTATTAAGATTAGTGGCTTGTGTTCAAAACAAAACAAAAACTAAAACTTTTTATATCAGAACTGTTGTAGATTTCAAATGAACAGTTCTTAGAAGAGTAAGAAAATAGTTTTTTGCTTTTTCTTTCCTACAATTGTCTATAACTTCCTCTTTACAGAAAGAGGATATAGTATCAGCAAACCCCTAGACATGCGCAAATCTCTTTTTAAAAAGTTCTCTAACTTGAGAGAATCACCATACCCATTCCTGTGTTCATATCTGGTACCAATGTTGCCCATATTTTTCTAAAGAAAACACTATAGTTGTCCACTCTGTCAAATTGATTTAAAGCGAGGGGGGGCGGGGCTCTTAACAGTTGACAGGTTAACTTTTCTACATTATGAGGTGCCCCTCTCCCAGATTTAACTCCAAGAAGGGGTCTATATATAGTTTAGGTTTAGTTTGTTTCATCTTTATGTGAATTTGCTTTGTGAAAATTCACTATACAATGTGGAGCCATTTCTGTCACATTCCACTAAAATAGATTGAGGGGCAGGCAGTTAAGAAAAGGACACCCTCTGCTCAAAAATACCTGCTCCAGGAACTGTATCACAGAACCAATCCAAGAAAACAAGCTTTAAAACAAAATAATCTTTAAGGTTATTATTATTTTCTTAAAAACTAACTACAGAAATGCCAGCTATGACCTTAAGACCCCATTTAACCACTGCAAATCGGAGCCAGCCAACTACTGAAAGTAGGGAAGGTGCCAATGAACTTTCTTCCAAAATAACTCTCGTATGAGATTTCTCTGTTCTAATAAAACTTCTTGGGGCTGGGGTTGTGGCTCAGTGGTAGAGCACTTGCCTAGCATGTGTGAGGCACTGGATTAGATTCTTAATAAAATAAATTTAAAAAAACAAATTTAAAAAAAATTTAAATTTAAATTAAAAAAAAAAAAACACTCCTTGGTTCTATGGACATATCAGTCACCCCGTCTGTGCAAGTGGATTACAATCCAAACAAAAGTCCCTTGATTGCAGATTCGTCTCTGTATTTTTTGATTGTCTGTATTGATGACTAACTCACTTAAATTAACACATAAACGGATCTCAGTAGAGTTTCTCCCTCGCATGAGCCAGGGCCTGGGTTCATTTTCGGACCGAGGGGAGGGGGTAGTGAAGAGTTCTGATGATGACAGCATCAATGCTCCCTCTGGGAACCATTCCCTATCACGACCCTCTCTCACTCAAGGTGGGATGTGCCCTTCCCTGCCTCTTTCTACCTATTTACACACAACTTTGAAACTTGCAGGAATTTTGAAAACCACGTGCCTCCCTATCCACCTATGCTCACAGCCTTCTTATCTGAAAGGGGACTGTGACCACCGCCCGGTCCCTCACTGGGCACGCAGCTCCAGCCCTGGCACCTACACGTCCTCTTTCCGCGCGCCTCCCTGCGCCCTTGTCCTGGCTCCGCGCGTCCCGGCCGCCTCCTCCGAGGCAGCCTCCAGCAGGGAGCAGCCCGACCCTCGCAGGGAGAGCCGGACCCTCAGCCCCTCCGGCGCCGCCTTACCCGCCGGGGGCCGAGGCCACAGGGCAGCTGGGACGCCCGAGCAAAGAACACACGGCCCGGAAAAGCCATGTCACCTGCAGAACTCCGGCCGGAAGACTGCGGGGCTCCGGGGCGGGCCGCAAACTAAGTTCCGGGGGCTGGGCCGGGGCGGAGGCCCGCGGTCCCTGAGGACACGATCTCGGGGCCTCCGGGACACTTTCTCCCCGCCGCCTGGACCCAGAGCGTTTTGTCGAGCGGGAATAGCGGTTTCGGCGCCCCTGTTGTGGGTGGACGGACCCCGGCGCCGTACGAGGGTTTGCAAAATTGCACAAACGCGCGACACACCCCCGTTGCCCACCCAGTGCCAACACCCTTCTGGGTAATTTAAGTCTATTCCTTAAGTGCACGTTTAAGTTCGTTGTCGAGGTCGCGCTAACTCACATAGTAGCAGCAGAATAGTAACTCAGATTTAAAACAAGGCTTCCTTTTCCTAGGGAGAAGCGGCTGCAACCTTGCAGGACACACCGCCGCCTATCGCCGAAATGCAGCCTTACTTGTACCTCCCGGACCAAAGGAACTGGTACACAACTAAAAATGCAAAGATCAACCCTGGAAGAACAGGGGTTTGAACTGACCAAATCCGTTTACTCGCCCACCCGCAAATTTTTTTCCCTATTTTTGAGACTTGGAACATATGGGGGGGGGGCTTCACAAACTATGGAGCATAGAAATACTGAAAAAATGTAAAGTTACATATATCATGAATGCATAAAATACACGTAGCTAAGTCCTTTTTATCATGTACTATAATAAAATATGCACGAATCTATTTTTATTTATATATTTTTTATTTATATAAAACAGTAGAATGTATTACAACTCTTTATTACATATATAGAGTTCAATTTTTTATTTCTCTGGTTGTATACATAGTATACTCAAATTCGTGTCCTCATACATGTACTTTGGATAATAATGATCATCACATTCAACCATCCCCCCCTGCCCACTCCCTTCCCCTCCCACCCCTCTCACAATTCTATTTTTAAAGTTAAAATTTGTTAAAATAGGCGTGCAAACATGAACCATACATGGTGCCATTTGTAGTCAATAGAAATGAAAAACCAGTAAAGATTCAGTTTGAAATCACAGCTGCATAAAATTAACTGTAGTACATATTATATTACTTTGAAAATTTTATAGCCACTTCCTTTTGCTATTTCTGTGAGCTTGGGTGTCACCATCTTTTAGTTGATCTGCAGTTCACATTGCAGTAAAAAGTGATCTCTTCTCATGTTTTTTGTTGACTATAACATAATCATACAAAGTATGTGCTAATTGACTGTTTATGTTATTGGTAAGGCTTCCAGTAGACAGCAGGGTATTACTAATTAAATTTGGGGGATTTTCAGAAGGGGGGAGCTTTAATTTACCATTCTTTTATCTCCCAGATTCAGCACAATAGTGACCCTTCAACAAACATTTATCCAATGACTAAGTACTGATACTATTGCCATTTCCTAAACATGGACCATAAAAATAACTTAGAGAAAAACTTGTAGCAGCCATAGGAGCCAGTAAGGAATAGACTAGAGACATGAAAGAGAAATGCCATTCCAGAAGCAACAAATTTTGTCCTTTAGGAGCCATGGGATCTAACTAATGTCAGTGCTTGGGTTTGGGGTTTTTTGTTTTTGTTTTATTTTTTTATCAGCAAAGTTCAGTTTTTTATTGAACATGTTACAAGAATTAAGTCAAAAATGTCTTGACTATCTGTCTTCAGCAGATTCTTCAGATTCTTCTTTCTTTGCTGCCACTTTCTTCTCAGCTGGAGCAGCCCTGGTGGAGGGAGTAGGACGTCCTGCTGGTGCTGCATCAGCTGCTGGAGTAGGCCCACCAGCCCCTAAGTTGCTAATGTTGACATTGGCCTGGGCCTTTGCAAACAAACCAGGCCAAAAATGTCCAACATTTACACCAGCTGCTTTAATGAGGACATTGTTTTATCCTCCATGACAGTCACCTTGTTGTTGTGCAGGAAGAGAACAGAGTAGATGCAGGCCAGCTCAGAGACCCAGGCCATGGTGCTGTGAGGCATGGTGTCAATTGCCAAATGAAATGAAGGCCTCCCCCCAATGCGGCCTTAGCTTCATCAGAAGAACCAGGCACCTTGGCAGCCGCTGAGGAAAGGTTTTATTACTCATAGAAGCTAATATTCCTCAACATTGTTTTGGATGTCAGACTGTTCAACATCCTATAAATGTATTTCACTAATCCTCATAAGCATTCATGAAGTGTACACTACTATTATCAACATTTGGGAAACTGAGGTAGAGAGCAGTTAGGTAAATTTTTCAACTTATGGAATCAGATGGAATCTGAGCCCAACTCTGTCTGGCTCTAGCACCCTTGCTCTCAGGTGGAGTGTAGACTTGATCAACTACTGAGGTTCAAAGTGAGCTATATGTCTTGCTAGATGTGTAATGTTTTAACAGGTTATAAACCTGAGTTCCTTATCTGTGAAATGTAGATATTAAGAATTCACAAAGTTGTAGCTGGGTATAGATGAGATAATGTACTTAAAACACTTAGAACAGAGCCCAGCACATCAACAACCAGTAAACACTATTATGCACATAAAGAGTGGACCATTGTTAATCAAAAACTACAGGAGAAACTCTGACATCATTATTATAGTAATGTTTCTTTTTTATGGAATAACAGGCTGTAACTATTAAGCAAATTTAACAAGATCATTACCAAGAAAATATACTATCTCATGGGGAAAAAAATAAGGAAGGGAACCTTCCCAGGGGAAGAGTGGGCCAGAAAAGTTGTGACTTTGCTCAAATACATTTTTGTAAACTGATTTTGGGTACTGTATATCAGGTTTGTAATTAAGAGTAATTAAGAGGCAATAATGCTTTTACCAAGGCATTGACCAAAAGCTAGCAAGAGGCTTACTTAGCCTTTTTAAAGAAAGATTTTATATACATTTCAAAGATAAAGAATTTACAATGACAGGTTGTATTATTCAGCTTTCCATCACTGTGACGAAATACCTGAGATAAACAATTTATAAGGAGCAAAGGCTTGGTTTGGTTTCAGATCATGGTCACTTGGCCCTGTTCCTTTGGGCCTGTAGTGGCATGGTATATCACAGAGGAAGCACATGGTTGAGGAGGCCTATTTACCTCATAGCATCCAGGAAGTAAAAGAGAGAGAAAGGAAAATTCCAGAGTCCCAATATCCCTTTCAAGGCATGCTCCCAATGACCTAACTTCCTCTCACTAGTCCCCACCTCCTAAAAGTTCTACCACAACCTCTTGCTACCTTTACAACCCAGCAATGTCTTTCTCAAGGACATGAAAGCCATCCCTTTGAAATATAATCCACATGGAAGAATTCTCAAGGAAGACCTTGAAGGTAGGAACCTAATATTTGACTGTTCTGACTCCAAACAGCAAACCTATCTCCTATCATTAAGCTAGGAGAAGTTTATTTTTTCTTTGGATCAAATCAATTAGCTACCACAGACAGTTATCCCAATTACCAAGTGAATTTAGGCTGAACTACACAACAAGTGTTACTGCACACTTTTCAAAAAAATCCTGAGTTCAATTCCGAGTAGCAAGAAAAAGGAAATAAGAATAGAACAGATAGATTCTTATTTCATTCCTGATGTCAAGGGAAAATGATCAATAATTTATCTTAAGTATAATGTAAGCTGTAATTTTTTTGTAGATGTCTTTTATCAGGTCAAGAATGATCCTTCTATTCCTATTTTTCAGTGAGCTTTTGTCATGAATGAGTATTGAATTTTATCAAATGCTTTTTCTGCATCTACTAAAATGATGCAGAAAATTTTCTCCTTTTTAAAGAATTTATTCTGGTGAATTATGCTGATTTTTTTTTCCTCCAGTGTTAATCCACCCTTCTGTTTCTGGAATATAGACCACCTGGGTGTGGTTATTCTTTTTATAATACCACTTGATTCAATTTACTAATCTTGTATTAGGATTTTTGTATCTATGTTGGTAACAGAGACTGGTAAGCTAAGCTTTTAAAGTGGCATGTTTTTATTTTCTGTTACAGTCCGCTTTTGTCAACCAGAAATTACATGATCAAAAATGTGATCTCAGATGTTTATTTGGCAATGTGCAAGAGGTGAATGGTATCCTCTTAGGGAATGCTGGGCCAGTAAAAGAACAGTTGGAAATGTAGTCTGCTCAGTACTTAGAATGGGATTAGATGAAAGTGGAACCTGATAAAATGGAGAATTGATTTAAACTTTAAAAAATATTTAATGTAATGAGTTGCCTTTCAGGTAAAATCCTTACCTTCATCATTATTGATCTAAGTAACAACCGAAATTTAAGACATTGCAAATGCAAGGAACTAAACGATCAGTTAGCGTATTTGATCAGAAGACTTCATCACATTGCTTTAGGGCTAATTTTAAAAATTATTTCCTTTCACAATCAGAAAAAAAAATCTTATATTTTATGAACACCTTAAAATAAAACCCGGCTTTCATTCTCTTAATGCAACACCTTTCAGTTCATACTGCGTTGCTCCTTACCACCAGGTGGCGCCCTAGCGCTCAATAGCATTCCCGCCTCATCCCTCGGTTTCCAACAGGGCTTGCGCGGCTGCTGGGAGCGCGCACGTCCTAGGGTTCCCGCGCATTGCCCGTGCTGTGATCGCGTGCACATCGGCTATCCGCTGCGAGGCAGCCGGTGGTCAACTCCAGTCCTGCGGAGCCGGACCCATGTGGAAGCTCCTTCCCGCTGCGGGCCCGGCCCGAGGTAAGGGTGGAAGGGAAAGATAGAGACCCGGCTTTCCCGGGAGCAGCTGCTGCGTGGAGTGTGCGGAGCGACGCTTCCGGTCCGCTCTCACTGCCTTCCGGCGCGGCCTCTGTGCCAGCCCTGGGATTCTGTGAAAGCGGGATGCGAAAGTCGGAAGTTTGCGTGAGGACGCCGCATTTTCTTCCGGGACGGTGCGGCGATTCAGTCCACACCAGACGGGAACCAGCACCTGCTCACGCGCCCTGATGGAGCGAGCCCCGGACGCCTTCCTTTTGGGACACCTGGTCGTAGGCTTTTAGGAAGAGATCACCA